AGCAGGGGGTGGAGGCATAGCATTAGGAGATATATGTAATGTAAATGACGAGTTAATGGGTGCAGCACACCAACATGGCACATGTATACATATATAACAAACCTGCATGTTGTGCACATGTACCCTAGAACTTAAAGTATAATAATAAAAAAAAAAGAAATAATACCAACCCTATTAAAACCATCCCAAAAAGACAAGAGGAGGGAACACTTCCAAACTCATTCTACAAGACCAGTATTACCCTGATACCAAATCTAGACAAAAGCTCTTCAAAAGAAAGGCCTATATGCCAATATTTTGGGTGACTATTGATGCAAGAATTCTCAACAAAACACTAACAGAACACATTCCACAATATATTAAAAGGATCATTCATCATGACCAAGTGGGATTCACAATATGCAAATCAACCAATGTGATACATCATATTAACAGATTGAAAGACAAAAACCATATGATCATTTCAACTGATGCTGAAAATGCATTTGATAAAGTTCAATATCCCTTCATGAAAAAAACCCTCTAAAAACTGGCTAGAGAATAAACATACCTCAACCATAATAAAAACCACATATGACAAACCCACAGCCAGTTTCACTCCGAATGGGAAAAAACTGAAAGCCTTTTCTCTAAGATCTGGAACATGATAAGAATGTCCACTGTCATGACTGTTGTTCAGCATAGTACTGGAAGTTCTCACTAGAGCAATCAGATAAGAGAAAGAAATAAAGGGCATCCAAACTGGAAAGGAACAATTCAAATTATCCTTGTTTGCAGATGGTATGATCTTGTATTTGGAAAAATCTAAAGACTGGCCCAAAAAAAAAAAAAAAAAAAAACTCTTAGAACTGATAAATTCAGTAAAGTTACAGGATACAAATCAAAATACAAAAATTAGTAACATTTCTATATACCAACAGTGAATAATCTGAAACAGAAATCAAACAACTAATCCTATTTACAACAGCCACAAATTAAATACCTAGGTTTTAACCAAAGAAGTGAAAGATCTCTACAAGGATAACTATAAAACACTGATGAAAGAAATTAAAGAGGATACAGAAAAATGGAGAGATATTCCATGTTCATAGATGGGAAGAGTCAATATTGTTGAAAAGTCCATACTACCCAAAGCAATGTACAAATTCATTGTAATCCCTATCAAAATATCAATGATATTCTTCACAGAAATAGAAAACAAATCCTAACATTCATATAAAATCGCAAAAGCCCCAGAATAGCCAAAGCTATCCTGAGCAAAAGAAATGAAACTGGATAAATTATATTATTTGACTTTAAATTATACTACAGAGCTACAGTAAACAAAACAACATGGTAGTTGAATAAAAGCCAACACATAGACCAAAGGAACAGAAGAGAACCCAGAAAAAATTCCACACACCTACAGTGAACTCATTTTCAACAAAGGTGCCAAGAACATACAGTGGGGGAAAAGACAGTCTCTTCAATAAATGTTGCTGGGAAACTGGATATCTATATGCAGATGAAAGAATCTTGAACCCTATCTCTCACCTTACACAAAAATCATATCAAAATGGATTAAAGACTTAAATCTTTGACCTCAAACTATGACACTACTCCAAGAAAACATTGGAGAAACTCTCTAGCATATTGGTCTGTGCAAAAATTTCTTGAGTAATACTCCACAAGTAACGGTAACCAAAAAATAAATGGACCCATGGGATAACATCAAGTTAAAAACCTTCTGCACAGCAAAGAAAACAATCTACAAAGTGAAGAGACAACCCACAAAATGAGAAAAAAAAATATTTCCAAACTACCCATCTGACGAGGGATTAACAATCGGAATATAAAAGGAGCTCAAATAACTCTATAGGAAAAAAATATCTAATAATCCAATTTAAAAATGGATAAAAGATTTGAATAGATATTTCTCAAAACAAGACACACAAATGGCAAACAGGTATGTGAAAAGGTCCTCAACATCACTGATCATCTAAGAAATGCAAATCAAAACTATAATGAAATATCATCTTGCCCCAGTTAAAACGACTTTTATCCAAAAGCCAGGCAATAACAAATGCTGGGGATGATGTAGAGAAAAGGGAACCCTCGTATACTGTTGGTGAGAATGTGAATTAGTAAAACCACTATGGAAAACAGTTTGGGGGTTGCTCAAAAAACTAAAAATAGAGCTACCATACAATCCAGCAATCCTATTGATATGTATATATCCCAAAAAAAGGAAACCAGTATATCAAAGAGATATCTGCACTCCCATGTTAGTTGCAGGTCTGTTTTCAGTAGCCAAGATTTGGAAGCAACCTCTGTGTCCATCAACATATGACTGGAAAAAGAAAATGTAATACTTATACACAATGGAGTAATATTTAGTCATAAAAAAGGAGATTGTGTCATTTGCAACAACATAGATGGAACTGGAAGTCATTATGTTAAATGAAATAGGCCAGGCACAGAAAGACAAACATTGCATGTTTTCACTATTTGTTGGGGCTAAAAATCAAAACAATTGAACTCACAGAGATAGAGAATAGAAGGATGGTTACCAGAGGCTTGGAGTGTGAGCATGGGGTGGGGATGGTTAATGGGTACAAAAAATATAGTTGGAAAGAATGAATAAGACCTAGTATTTGATAGCACAACAGGGGGACTATAGTCAATAGTGATTTAATTGTACATTTAAGAATAACTAAAAAAGTATAATTGGATTATTTGCAACACAAAGGATAAGTGCTTAAGGAAATGGATACCCAATTGTCCATGATGTGATTATTACACATAGTATGCCTGTACTAAAATATCTCATGTAGCCCATAAATACATACGCCTACTGGTACCCACAAAAATAAAAAATGTTTTTAAATATTTTAAAGAATGGGTAAGAGTATAACCTACCAAATGAGCACCAAAGTTTCCATGCATTAAACAAGAAAACCTTGTGGTATCCTAGATCACATACTGAAGTTCGTGCAAAAACCATTGCTCTCTAGAGCAGAATTAGAGACAAAACACCTAAAGAAACAACACAAGGAAGCAAAACCAGAAACTGGTGTAACATCCTCAAGTCATCTAAGAAGCTCCAGCGTTTTTTCAATGTGGCTCTAACAGTATGTGATTAGCATGCTGCAAAATTCTCACACTTGGTCAGACTACTCAGTTCTTCAACATGACAATTTACTATTTTTAGTTATTTTGTTCCAATGTTCTATTCCTACTTGGCATGATACCTAAAGGAAGACTATTCCCAAACTGAACATATATGACAGCGCTGATCTTATATTTGACACCTGTGTAAGACTACTGCTTCTCTAACTGATCAAATAGCAAATCTCCTGTATGATTTCTGCTTCCTCCCCTAGTAAGGAAGAAATATCAAGCAACCAACATTATTGAATTTAGTATTTTTCCTCAACCATATATCTTAAGTTCTTAAGTGGTTAATAAAAGTTCACTTTTAATGTATTTGACTTTATTGTCTACAGTTTGAATTTGTAAGCTCTCTAACGATGGCAAAGAGAACAATAAAATACAAGAGGAAACAAATTTTCCTTTACCCTTGCATTTCTATTTCTATTTACTCTATTTGGTATAATGAACTGGGATACACACATTACATAATTGTAGAAACTACCATGAAATGCATTTACAATATATTTGAAAACTAATTTACTGCTAGTTTAATAAAGGTAAATATTTGGCCTAGAAATGTCTTTCAGATGTTTAAATTTTATCTGTTTTTTCATGGCATCCTTTTGGTTTTGACACTTAATATGATAATTTAGAATATGGCATAATTTTATTTTTTAAAGCATAGCTGCTACAAATTATTAATAATAAAAACATTTTATAACATTTAAATATCTCTTTGATTTCTATCCTAACATAATAACTCTTGTTAGGTGTATGCCCTTTTCAAACACTAAAATTTTTCCAACCTCTTTGCCCTTCAATTTTTGTAGTTCATTTTCCAGCACCAACTTCTCTTCTGATAACAACTGAAAATCACGTTGTATCTGTTTGTATTCCTAGAAACAAATAATTTTAGTAATAATGAAGAGTAAAACTCTCAATGTAGAAAGGTTATTCAGATATTTAATTATTAAAGTAAGAAAGTCTTCATTAACTCATGACAAGAATGAAACATTGATATCAGTACGTACAGTGAGACAAGAATTGGAGCTGAAAGACATAAAAGAGCTAAAAGTGTCAAGGACTGGAACTATTCAGATGACTGTAGGACATTACAGTTTAGTATTTCAGAAGTGAATTATTTCTGAGTGATAATGAGAGTAAAATGAACAAAATAGATAAGGCTTTCCAGTTCACATATGCATAAAATTATTTTAAATAAACTAAGCATTGGATCTTTATATAGGATTATGTATCCTGACAATTTCTAGAATCTGTTAAGAACTCAAGGACAAAGTGTAATTTCAAATTGAGATTACCATACTTACAGCATGTAACAAAACTTGATCATTTACAGCTCTGAAAAATAAACCAAAAAAGTATGTTTATAATTGTACATTTATATTTTAATTTATATAACACGCACATTTTCTTTGTAAAGATTTTAATACAAATGAAGTTTAATGGACACTGGACACTTTGATTACCACTTTGAAAATTTAATACTCTCCCTGGAAATATTATAGAATCACTGTTACCTTTCCAGGACTTGTTCTATGCATTTATACAATACTGCATGTACCTTTTCCATTCTGTAATTTTTATTAGTGGGTTGGATTTCAGTTTTCTTTTTCACATAAATGACATCACTGTATATATTGTTCTCAACTTACTTTTTCACTTAACATAAAGTCTGAGATTTCTTCATATCCATAAACATAGATCTTTCTCAGTTTTTTTAAGTGCTAATGATTATTCCACAGCAGGAGTTGGCAAACATTTTTTGCAAAGAACTAGATAGTAAGTATTTTAGATTCTGCAAGCCTGATGGTCTCTATCACTATTACTCAATGGGTATGGCTGTATTCCAATTAAATTTTATTTACAAAAATAAGTTTCAGGTTAGGTTTGACATTGTTCCACAGTTTGCTGACACAGTTTGGTGACATTGTTCCACAGTATGGATAAACCATAGATTATTTGGGCCACAGTTTGCTGACATTGTTCTATAGTATGGATAAACCATAGATCATTTTTGACAAGAGTTATTCATTTATTAAATCAGAATTTATAACAGCTCTATTTAGGTATAATTAATATATCATACAGTACACATTTTAAAGTATACATTTCAATTTCTTTTAATATATTCACCAACTTAAGCAACCATCACCACCATCATACAGTGCACATTTTAAAGTATACATTTCAATATCTTTTAATATATTCACCAACTTGAGCAACTATCACCACTATCTAATTTTACTACATCTTATTTACCCCACAAAGGAACCCCAGACACATCAGTAGTCACTCCCAATTCCTCTTTGCAAATACCCAGCCAGTAGCCTACTTTATCTCTCTAGATTTGCCTATTCTGGATATTTGACACAAATAGAAGCATATAGTATGTGGTCTTTTGAAACTGGCTTCTTACATTTAGCAATATGTTTTCAAGGTTCTTCCCTATTATAGCACGTTATTACTTTGTTCCTTTTTACTGCCAAATAACATTTCATTATAAGGATATTCCACATTTTATTTATCAATCACTTTAAGGACATTTTGTTTGTTTCAACTTTTCTGCCATTATGAATAATGCTATTATGAACATTTATGTACAAGTTGTTGTGTGAATATGTGTTTTCATTTATCTCATGCGTAAACCTAGAAACAGAATTTCTGAATCATATGCAGACACTGTATTTAACATTTTGAGGAACCGGCTAACTGTTTTCTAAAGCAGATACATAACTTAAATTCCCATTAGTAATGTATGAGGTTCCCAATTTCTCTACATACTTGCCAAAAAATCATTGCCTTGTCTATTTGATTATAGCCATCCCAGGGCGTGTAAAGTGGTATCTCATTGTAGTTTTGATTTGCAATTAAAACTAGTGACAGCCAGGCCCAGTGGCTCATGCATGTAATCCCAGCACTTTGGGAGGCTGAGGCAGGAAGATAAACTGAGGTCAGGAGTTTGAGATCAGCCTGGCCGACATGGTGAAAACCTATCTCTACAAAAAATACAAAAATTAGCCGGGCATGGCAGCAGGTGCCTGTAGTCCCAGCAACTTGGGAGGCTGAGGCACAAGAATTGCTTGAACCCGGGAGGTGGAAGTTGCAGGGAGCTGAGATCATGTCACTGCACTCCAGCGTGGATGACACAGCGAGACTCTGTCTCAAAAAAAAACACAAAAAACAAAAAAACGTAGCAACTACCAATGTTAAGTATCTTATCATGTGATTATTGGGCATTTCTATATCTTCTTTGGGAAAATACCTATTCAGATACTTTACCTATTTTTAATGGAATTATTTATCTTTTTATTACTGAGGTGTAAGAGTTCTTTGTATGTTCTACTAAGTACCTTAGCAGATATATGATTTGTGAATATTTTTCACATTCTATGAGCAGTTTTTTTCATGTTTTTGATAGTATCATTTGCAGCACAAAAGTTTTTGATTTTGATAAAGTTTATCTATTTTTTTCTTTTGTTGATTATACTTCTGATGTACTATCTAAGAAACCACTGCCTAACCCAATGTCACAAAGATTTACTCCTATGTTTCTTCTAAAATGCCTATAGTTTTACCTCTTAAATTTAGGTCTTTAATAATTTTGACTTTAGTGAATGGCAAAAATAAGTAATCCAGTCTTGTTCTTTTGCATGTGGATAACCAGTTGCCCAAGTACCATTTATTATAAATTAAAGACCTTTCTTTCCCCCATTGAATCATCTTACCTTGAAAATCATTTATTCATAAATGTAAGGTTTATTTGTGGACTTTCAATTCCATTCCATTGCTCTATATGTCTAGCCATATAGCCATATGTCTAGCCTTATGCCAGTAATATTTTGCCTTGGTTACTGTAGCTTTGTATTAAGTTTTAAAATCAGTTAAGTGTGAATCTTCTAACTTTGTTCTTAAGATTGCTTTGGCTAGTCTAGCTTCCTTGAACTTCCACATGAGTTTTAGAATCAGCTTGTCAGTTCTGAAAAAATGTCAGCTGGAATTTTGAAAGTAATTACATTGAATCTGAAGGACAATTTGAGAAGTATTGCTACCTTAAGATTATTAAAGACAGGTGTGGTGGCTCACGCCTGTAATCACAGAACCTTGGGAGGTCAAGGCAGGAGGATCACTTGAAGCCAGGAGTTCAAGACGAGCCTAGGCAACACAGCAAGACCCTGTCCCTACAAAAAAAAATTTTTTTTTAATCGCCAGGCATGGTGGTGCATGCCTGTAGTCCTAGCTGCTTAGAAGGCTGAGGTAGGAAGATGCCTTGGGCCTAGGAGTTAGCAGCTGAAGTGAGCTGTGATTGCATCACTGCACTCCAGTCTGGGTAACAGAGTGAGACCCTGTCTATAAAAAATATTAAGTTTAACAGTCTATGAAGATGAAATATCTATTCATTTCTGTAGGTGTTCCTTAAGTTCTTTCAATTATGTTTTTTAGTTTCAGTGCCCAAATCTTGCATTTCTTTTTTTAAATTCAGTCACGATCTCTTTGGTGCTATTATAAATTGAATTGTTTTCTTTATTTCACTTTTGAAATGTTCATAGTTAGTGTATTCATTTCCTACAGCTTTAGTAATAAAGGCCCACATATGGGTGATTTAAGACAACAAGAATTTATTTTCTCACAGCCTGGTGACTTGAAATTCAAAATTAAAGTGTTGGCACAGCCACGCTCCCTCTGAAATATCTAGGGAAGTAATCTACCATGCCTATTCTAGCCACTGTTAGTCCCTGGTATTCTTTGGATTGTGGCAGAATAAATCGAGTCTCTGCCTCCATCTTTACATTAGCAGTCTTTCCTCCATGTTTATCTGTCTTCTCCAATTCCTATAAGGACATCAGTCACGTTGGATTAAGGGCCCATTATACTCCAGTATGACCTCGTCTCAACTAATAATATTGGCAATAACCCTGTTTCCAAATAGGGTCACCCTGAGGTAGCAGGGGGTGAGAACTTCAACTTATCTTTTGAGGGGATACAATTCAGCTAGTGTATAGAAAAACAAATTGTTGGCTGGGCACGGTGGCTCATGCCTGTAATCCCAGCACTTTGGGAGGCCGAAGCGGGCAGATCACGAGGTCAGGAGATCGAGACCATCCTGGCTAACACAGTGAAACCCCGTCTCCACTAAAAATGCAAAAAATTAGCCAAGCGTGGCGGCGGGCGCCTGTAGTCCCAGCTACTTGGCAGGCTGAGGCAGGAGAATGGCCTGAACCCAGGAGGCAGAGCTTGCAGTGAGCCGAGATCGCACCACTGCACTCCAGCCTGGGCGATAGAGCAAGACTCCGCCTCAAAAAAAAAAAAAAAAGAAAAGAAAAGAAATACAAATTGTTTTTGTTTATCGATCTTATATATTGCAGCCTCGATGAATTCATTCATTACTTCCAATAGGTTTTAGCAGAACTCAGGATGTTTTAATATCTAAAATCATGTCATTTGCAAATAGAGGTAGTTTTACTTCTTCCTCACCAGTGCAGACACTTTTATTCCCTTTCTTCCATAATTGCCCTTGCTAGAACCTCTACTATAATGATGAATAGAAGTGAATGCCTTGTGTTTTTCCTGATCATAAGGAGAAATTATTCATTCTTCACCTCTGAGTATGATGTTGAATGGGGTTTGCAAATGGCCTTTATCAGATTAAGGAAGTTTCCTTCTATTCCTGGTTTGTGGAATTTTTATCAAAAAAAGATGTTGAATATTGTCAAGTGCATTTACTGAATCTAGTGAACTGATGTGATTTTTTTCTCATTTATTTAATCAATATTACACATTATATAAATTGATACCTGCATTTTAAATCAACATTGCATTCCTAAAATAAATCCCCCATGTTCATCATATGTAATCTTTTTTATACGTTGTTGGATTCAGTTTGCTAGTATTTTGGTGAGGATTTTTGTGTTCATATTCATAACACATATTTATCTTCTTAAAATAAATATATTTATTTTCTTGTGATTGTCTAATTTTGGTATCAGAGTAACACTAATCTCACAGAATGAATTGAGAAGTGTGAACTCTTTTATTTTTTGGAAGAGTTTGTACAGGCCTGGTATTAATTCTTCTTTAAATATTTGACAGGATTAGAAAGTGAAGTCATCTGGCCTAAGCATTCCTTGGTGGGAATATGTTAATTACTAATTAAATCTTTTCACTACTTATAAGTCCAGTCACATGTTCTTGTTCTTCTTGATATAGTTTAGTTTGGGTCTTTCTAGAAATATATATCATCTCAGTTATCTAATTTGTTGTCATATAGTTATTCATAGTATTCCCTTATCATTCATCTACCATAGATTATTGAGCCATACTCCTACTAACAAAAACAGGTT